AGACATGCCTGCAGCTCCTCCAGGGTGAGTGAACACTTTCAGGTGGGTGGGGGCTCCCAGTCTCTTCTCTCCTGGGTGCAGGTCGCTGTGCCTCTAGAACTGGTCTGCTTCTGTGTGTGTGTACATGTGTACATGTGTGCATGTGCGTGTGTGTGTATGTGTGTGTGTGTGTGTGTGTGTGTGTGTGAGCTCCACTCTGGTTCTGCTCTCTCATGTGGACGTTTTACTTTTGATCTTTAACAAAACCAAGTAAAAAACAACTTGTCTACTAGAAATTCTTTCTTGGCCAGGCATGGTAGTGCACGCCTGTAATCCCAGCATTCAGAAAGATGAGGCCGGAGCATTGCTGCAAGTTCAAGGCCAGCCTGAGCTACAAAGTGAGTTCAAGAACAGCCTGAATTGCATAGTGAAACCCTGTCTCAAAAGACCAAAAAAATTGTTTCTTTGCAGGGGTAAAGAAAATAAAATGTGAGTTTTGCTCTGATGAAGTCATTGTTATGGTTTTTGATGCCCTTTGTGAGTGTACTATATTTCACAGTCAGCAATGTATATAAGTATCATATTGTGCTTACTTTAAGGGTAGTAAATGCTGTGGTAAAATTCAAAGTACCATAGAAACATAGTGAGAAAGAAAATCCCAGGCTGAGGATTTTCTGTGTATTCCCGGGCAGATGCTTCCAGGCTCATCAGTTTTCAGCCATGGGAAATTGAGCCCTTACTACATATGAGAAGAAGGACATTTTTTGTTGTCCAAATCAGGGAGGAGTTTGCTACTGGCATCTTCTTGTTAGAACAAAGATGCTCCTCTGTACCCTAAAATTCACAGGACAATCCCTCACTGGAAGGATGATCCACACTCAAATCTGCACAGCTCAGGGTTGAGGAACTCTGGAGTAGACACAGGTACTGTATTATGGTTTATTAGGAAACATGATAATGATCTACAGAAAACCTTCCAACTGAACAGTCATTGTGCATAGGAAATCACTTTATTCCTTTTAATGGATGCAAACTATTCTATGATGTGACTGACTCCCAACTTTTACCCAGGCCCTTGCTGGTGGCTGTTTGGGCTCTGTTGCATTTCTGTGTTAAAAGCAGAACTATAGTGAAGATCTGAAGATGTACATCTCTGTGCCCCTCAGGGGAAGTTTCTTGAGTCACACCCCGTTCTGCTGGTGTGTCCTCCAAATGAGTGTGATTATTATCAAAGTGATCCTCCTTCCTTTTCTCTTTTTTAGCTTAACAATTTTTTTCTTTTTCATTAGATTTCATTGGTACCTTTCAGATATACATAATGATCACGTTCATCATAGAGAATTTGTACCTGTACAGGATATAACTTGATTTTTTCTCATTCCCCTACTCTCCCTTCAACCCCTCCTCCTCTCCCCATTAATGAAAGCTCTGTTTCCATTCTTCCCTTCTGTTCTCATCTTTTAAACTTTTCCCTTCTTTGCTATCCCCTTTTCCTCTCCCTTATTCCCATGGCCATTTGAACATTTTCTTCCTATTTCATAGTACCTATTATACATTTTAGTCCTTTATACTTTTGGTTTCTCATACCACAGAAACAGTGCAGTATTTATCCATGTGTCCAATTAATTTCACTTAACAGTATGGTCTCAAGGTGCATCCATTTTCCTAGAAATGTCTCAAGCTTAACCTTCTATATGGCAGAGTAGTACTGCATTATCTAAAACACCACATCTTCTTTATCCATTCACCAGTTGATGCATATTTGGGGTGTTTCCAAGATTTGGCTATTACAAACTGTGTTGCTATAAACATGGTGTGCATGTATTGCTGTGCTATGATGCTTTTCTTTTGGATAGATACCAAGAAGGGGAATAGCTGCATCAAATGGAACTTCTAAACCTAGTTTTTCGAGGAATCTTCAGACTGATTTCCACAGTGGTTGGACTCCCATTAACAGTGGAGAAAGGTTCTTTTTTTTCCCTACAGCTCTGCCAGCATTTGTTATTGGTTGATTTTTTTTCCTTTTTTTTTTTTTTGTTTTGAGACAGGGTTTTGCTACGCAATTCAGTCTGGCCTTGAACTCACTTTGTAGCCCAGGCTAGCCTCAGACTCACAGGGATCCTCCTGCCTCAGCCTCCCAAGTTCTGGGATTACAGGTGTGAGCCACCACACCTGGCTTGATTCCTTGATAGTAGCCATTCTTTCTGGAGTGAGATGAAATCTCAACATTATTTTAATTTGCATCCCTCAAGGCTGAGGCAGGAGGCTTGTTGTGAGTTCAAGGTCAGCCTGGGCTACAATGTCATTTCAAGACCTGCCTGAACTGCATATCAAGACCCTGTCTCAAAAAACACAAGAAATTTTGCATCTCTCGAATGCCTAGTGATGTTGAACATTTTTTCATATATTTATTTTCTGTTTGTACTTCTTCATCTGAGATATGTGTATGCATCTCAGATAGCCATTTTTGGACTGAGTCTTTAAATTTGGTCGGGGGGTTCTGAATTTTTTTTATTTCTTTATATGTTCTTAGTAGTAATCTTTTGTCTGAGAAACAGCTGACAAATTTTTTTTCCCAGTGTTTGGGTTGTCTCTTCACTCTGTTGGTGGTTTCTCTTGCTGTGCAAAAGCTTTTTAATAAGATGAAATCCCAGTTAATATTTTGCCGTAGTTCCTGTGCAGTTGGGGTTTGTTTCTAAATCTTTGCCTACACCACTGTCTTCAAGAGTTCTTACCCTATCTTCCAGCAGATTTACTGTTTCTGTTTTAATATTTAGATCTTTGATCCATTTGAAATGTAGTTTAGTTCATGGTGAAAGATATGGGTCCAGTTTTAATCATTGGCATGTGCAAAGGCAGTTCTTACAACATCATTTATTAAAGAGGATGTCTTTCTTCCAATGAAGGTATTTGGCACCTTTGTCAAAGGTAAGGGCGCTAAGTATGTCTGGTGTTACTTCTGCATCTTTTAATCTGTTCCATTGATTCTTGGGTCTGTTTTTTTGCCAATAACAGGCTGTTTTTATCACAGTATCTTCATAGTATAATCTCAAGTCAGGAATTGTGATGCCCTCTGCCTTGGATTTCTTGGCCAGAATTGCCCTTGGTATTCTAGGTCTCTTCTGGTTCCAAATGAATTTTAGGGTTGCTTTCTCTAATTCTGTGAGATATGCCATTGGAATTTTCATCAGGATTGCATGGAATCTGTATAACAGTTTTGGAAGTGTGGCCATTTTCACTATATCGATCCTTCCTACCCAAAAGCAAGGGATATCTTTCCATTTTCTGATGTCCTCTTCAATATCCTTTTTCAGAGTATAGTAGTTTTCAGTGTAAAGGTCTTTTACTTCCTTTGTTAGATTGATTCGTAGGTATTTAATTGTTTTGGATGTATTGTGAAAGGTGTTGTTTCCCTAATTTCTCTCGCAGTGAGTTTGTTATTCATGTACAGAGGGCTGTTGATTTTTGAGTATTGACTTTGTATCAAGATACACTACTGATTTTCCTTAGAAAAGCTAGAAGTGTTTTGGTGGAGTTTTGGGGGTCTTCTATGTAGAGTATCTTGCCATCTGTAATGATGACAATTTAATTTCTTCCTTTCCTATGATTATTCATTTTATTTCTTTGTCTTGGGTAGGTGCTCTGGATAAAGTTTCTAGAACTACATTGAATAAGAGTGGTGACAATGGATATTCTTGTTCCTGATCATAGAGTAAAAGCTTTCAATTTTTTTTTCATTTAGTATGATGTTGGCTGTTGGGTTGTCATAGATGGCTTTTATTGGATTGAGATAAAGACCATCTATTCCAATTTTCTGTAGGGTTTTTGTCATGAATGTGTGTTAAATTTTGTCAAAAGCTTTTTAGCATCTATTGAGATGAACCTATGGTTTTTATCCATGACTGTGTTAATATGGTGTATTACATTTATTGATTTGTGTATGTTGAATCGTCCTTGAATTTATGGGATGAATCCTACTTAGTCATGGTACATAATCTTGATGATTTGCTTCATTCTGTTGGCCAGATTTTTGCATCTGTCTTCATTAGGGAGATTGGGCTGTAGTTCTCTTTCTTAGTTAGGTCCTTCTCTTGTTTTGGTGTCAGGGTAATGCTTGCTTCCAGGAATGGAATGAATTTGGGTATGTTGCTTCCCTTTCAATTTCATTAAAGAGTTTGAGAAGAAGTAGTGTTAGGTCTTCTCTAAATTTCTTGTAGAATTCAGCAGTGAATCTATCAAGGTCTGGGCTTTTCTTTATTGGTAGGTTTGTCGTTATCTCCTCAGTTTCCTAGATTGATACCTGTTTATTTAGAATTTTTATATTTTCTTGATTCAGCTTTGGTAATTCATATATCACTAAGAATCTGTCCATTTCCTTTGCATTTCCTATTTTATTAGAGTACACCTTCCTGGGTTTTTTTGTGAGAAAAGTTAAATAGTCTTTATTTGGTGTTATACATACACCACACTAAAATGCCTTTCCGTAAGCAAAAGGCAGCGCTTTTTTAGATACCGGGAATTCTAATTAAATTGGCATAGTCAAGACCAAAAATATAGACATGGCTTTCTTGTCTTCAACCATTCCCTTAAATAGGCTCATAAACACAAACTCAAACAGGGGAGTCTTGCTTGGTTTTGAGACAATGTGGGATTTCCCTGTATTTAACCATAGTCACAGAACCAGTTATATAAATCTAAATATAAAACCAACCTTCAGTAAGTTTTGAGATGACATTCTCAATCTTTGTGAAAAGTTGAACATTACTAATCAAGTCCAAGCATATATTTGGAAAGGGAAAACAGTGATAGTATTTACTAACCTGAAATTACTATCAAAACTTGGGGAAAAAAAGATATCCATTTCACTACAAGCCAATTTTACTTAAATCGGGACTGTCCTACAAAAATATTCTCTGATGCCACTTGTGATCTGAATTCTGGTGTATGAGATCTATGAAGTTATGTTACACATAAAAATGCCATGTGACATTTCTGTTCTGTAGTAAATAAGGCAGTAACTATTACTCATTAGTAGCCTTTTTGAGGTAAGTGATTAAGTCTGCCCTTTCTCCCTTCTTTTTGATGCCAGCGAAGATCATTTTTATTCCAGGGATGTACTTCTTGGGATTCTCCAAATACTCCATCAATGTATCCTCTCCCCAGGGGATACCTTTGTTCTTGTTGGCATCTGTGTAGAAAAATCCAACAGCCTGACATCTCTTCCACCGAAAGAGACCATGGAGATTTGGCCTAGTCTTGTGCTTGCCTCCCTTTTCAACAGTGTGGCACTGGGCACACTTCTGTATAAAAATCTTCTTGCCTTTCTCAACATCACCCATTTTTAAACCTGCTGAAGCTTCTGTGCCAGGTGGTCACTGCTCTTTCCTCATTACCACAAGGAAGGCTCCAGTTCAGAAGCCAGATGTCCCGCTCTCCAGAATTCAACTTCTTAAAGTCAGTAGCGATGATCATTTGGATTTCTGCAGGGTCTGTTGTGATTCCACCCTTTTCATTCCTAATTGCATGGATTTGAGTCTTGCTTTCTTTTTCTTTTCTTTTTTAGGCCAAGGTTTGTCAATTTTATTTAATCTTTTGAAGAACCAACTTCTCAGTTCATTGATTCTTGGTATTGTTTGGTTAGTCTCCACTGCATAAATTTATATTTTGAGCTTTATAATTTCCTTCCTCATATGAGCTTTGGGCTTCACTTGCTGTTTTTTTTTCTAGAAACTTGAGGTTCCACATTAAGTTGTTTATTTGGGCTTGCTCTGTTTTTCTGATATGGGTATTTCACTGCTATAAATTTCCCCCTTAGGATTGCTCTCATTGTGTCTCATAAGTCCAAGTATATTGTATTGCATTATTGTTTAATTGTAGAAACTGTCTAATTTCTTGTTTAATTTCATTTGTGACCCATTGGTTGTTCAGGAGGGTGTTATTTAATTTCCATGTTCTTATGAAGTTCTTGTGGTTTCTTTCTTTTGCCATTGGTTTCCAATTTCATCACACTACAGTCTGATCACATGCATGGGACAATTTCAAGTCCTTTACATTTACTTAAGCTTATTCTAGAGCTAGTATGTGGTCTACTTTGGTGAATATCCCATATGTATCAGACGAAAATGTGTGTTTTGAATGTGTGGGGTAGACTACACTGTAGACATTTACTAAGTCCATTTGTTCAAAAGTTTGGTTCAGTTCTGACATTTATTTGTTGAATTTTTGTCTGGTTTATCTATTTGTGGCAGTGGGGTGTTGAGGTCCCCCAATACAACTGTACTAGTGCTTATTTGATTTTTCATGTCTGTTTATATTTGTTTTACATAGTTGGGTGCACTGGTATTTGTTGCATATATATTTGTGATTGTTATCTCTTCCTCTTGGATTCTTCCCATTAACAAGGATGTAATGACCTTTTTTGTCTCTCTTCATCAATCTTGGCTTTAATCCACTTTGTCTACAATAGCTACCCCTGGATTTTCTGGGTTTTTGTCACATGGAGTATTGTTTTCAATCTTTTGACTTTCAGTCTATGAATTTCTTTTTGAATTCAATGTGTTTCTTGTATGCAGCACATGGTTGGATCTTGCTTTCTCATCCATGTAACAGTCTCTTTCTTTTGATTGGTAAATTGAAACCATTTACACTGATGGTTATAACTGATACGTTTCACTTATTTTCATATTATTTTCCGGTTGTTGGCTTTCCTTTATTCCCCTCTGTTTGTTTGCCTTGCCTGGTGGATTCATTCTGTTGGAGTTTATGGAGTTGTAGTGTTTGTTATCCCTTTCCAGAATGTCCTTTAGAACATTTTGGAGTGGTGGTGTGGTGTTCATGAGTTTCCTCAGGTGTTCTTCATGGAAGTATCATGGAAGTATCTTATTTCTCCATCACTTTTGAAAGATATTTTTGTGGGGTAAAGCAATCTGAGAAGGAGGTTGTTTTCTTTTCAGGCTTGAAATACTTCCCTCCTAGCTTTGACTTGAGGGTTTATGTTGAGAAGTCAGCAGTGATTCTGATGAGCTTTCCTTATAGGTGATTTGTTTCTTTTCTATAATAGCTTTTAATATTATATACTTGTGTTCAATTACTGGAATCTTGACTATTATATGCCTTGCTATAGTTTTTTTTTTGATCATGGCTAATTTGCGTTCTATATGCCTCAGTTAACTGAATGTCAAATACTTTTTTCCTGCCTTTGACTTGAGGGTTTATGTTGAAAAGTCAGCAGTGATTCTGATGAGCTTTCCTTATAGGTGATTTGTTTCTTTTCTATAACAGTTTTTAATATTATATACTTGTGTTCAATTTCTGGAATCTTGACTATTATATGCCTTGCTATACCTTTTTTTGATCATGGCTAATTTGAGTTCTATATGCCTCAATTAACTGAATGTCAAATTCTTTTTTCCTCCCAGAGAAATTTTCTGCCATAATATTTGTGAATAGGTTTTTTATATCATTTATGCTATCTCCTGCTTTTTCATTGACTCAAATCTATCTTATTTTATTCTTCTTTTTATTATCTAGCAGCTGCTAGATTGCTTTTTCATGGTCCCTTGCTATTTTAAAGAAATCTTTCTGCTCATGCTTGCTAACTGCAAGCCTGTCTTCTATATGTGAAATTATGTCCTCACAATGGTTCACTCTGATGTGTATACTTTCAACAGAATTTTTAGTCTCCTGGACATCTGCTTGAATCTGTTTTATTGATTGCATTTTTTTTTCCTATTTTGGGTATTGATCATTTCCGTCATTTTCCAAAGCTCCTCCATTTTTTTTAATCTCTGTCTGCCCTAGAGTAATTAAGCTTGTTTTTCATTGGCCAGCATCTCTGTAGTTATCTGAGAAATTGTGTCTGATTTGAGTCTTGCTACAGCCTCATTCATTTGCTTTGTTGTTAACATTTCAGAGCAGCCAGGGGGGTGGCTTTCAGATTGTCCCATGTTATTGCCCCCTGGGTTTGCCTTTTGTGAATTGGATGTCTGGGGTTGCATCCAGTTTTACTCTCTTCTCATTTTCTGATTTTTTTAAAAGTTAATTCCTGGGTTGACACTTGTAAATAGTGTATGGTGAGTTCCTTTATTGTTAATATTTAGAACCCTTAAGAAATGCCTACTTCTCAGAGATATCTTTCAGGTATAGCAGGTTTTGGGGTTTTGAGTTTGTTAAAGAGGTAGCAAGATCCTACTTCTTCAATTTGTTGGGTATGAGAAGTTCCTGCCTGCTTGGCCTAGCCTCTGGTTCTTTGGCACTGACCCACAGTACTTTCTCAGTCCGTTATGCCTTCTCCCTCTTGGTATACCAGGAAGAACAGCTGGTTAGAAACATTATGTCACTTTGGCTGAAGTGGTACAATCATCAAGAACAATAGCATCAAACACAATCTAGAAAATGACAAACTGTGGTAACCATTAATTTACCACCTTTACCCATTGAGCTAGATGAGTGGTTATATAACAAAATCGAAGACAAACTTGAAAACTGTGTGCAGTAATAAGCCCTCAATATGCCAATTTTACCCTAAGGGAAGAAAATTTAAAGGGGTTAAGTGGAAATATAGAGAAATAGAAGAAGAGGGAGAAGGAAGGCTGGAAGACAAAGGATCACACAAACTTTGGGAAACTGGTTCAGAATACAGGAAGGAAAGAGAGAAGGAAGAAATAAAAGGAAAAACAGAACAACATCCATAAAAAACCTAGAAAGTATGTTCATATTCATGTAAAACTAAGATCAAACAATGAAGAAAAAACAAGAAATGGGGGAGAGTCCAATTGCAGGTTTGTCTCCACTGTCTCTGGTAGACAGTGTATGGAGAGAGTCCAGATCCACTTGATTTATTCCAGCAAGGCAGCAGTAGCTTTATGGCAGGGTAGTGGATAATCTCAGCGATTCTGCACCTTCCTTTCCTCTGAAGTTCAGGCTGGTTTCTGGGTGTGAGGCTGGAACTGGACCCGTTCAGACTGCAGCAGTCAGTACACCTTCTGTGGGCGTGAACTCAGCTTGGAGCTGCTAGATGGAGCCAGCAGCTGTTTCGAGTTCTGAGTTCAATTGGCCCTTCTCCAAGATAGCTCCTAGACAACTGGTTTCTCTCATGGGACATCTGATCCCACAGCACTCACCAATGGCCACTGCAGTCCTTCCTTTCCATTGCTGCCTTCAACTGCTGTGTCTTTCCCTGGAGGCTTCTGGGGTTGACAGCAGTCACCGTGTGTCCACAGGTCCACTCTTCTCCCATGCAGTGAGTCTTAACTCAAGGAGAAGGCATCACCTGCTCCCTCCTTCTTCATTGAACTTTTTGTTTTTGCTCTCTGTGTGGACTTTAGTTCTCACTTCAAATCCTTCCTAGGTCCAGGGGATCCACTTCCCTCCTTCTTCTCTTCCTTGCATTGCTATATTCAAGTATCTGGATAGCAAATGTCAGGCTCTTTTTCTGCTTTTTACTACTCCACTATCTTCCTGGAAGCCCTCCTCATTTTTTCTATACTACTATTTGCCTTGTTTTCTGTTTTTTTTTTAAACTGAGGAAGAAAAATGCTCATCTGCCAGTGGAGACTGAGTGAGTCTTGCAGAGGTACTGTGGCTTCCTCTCCCACAGCTCACTTAACAACCATTTATTGAAAGTTTGTTGTGGCCCTACTGTTGAATTTCTTTCATTTCAGTTATGTGTTTTAATTGTTAATGTTTTCACAAAGCTCAAGAAATAACCCCAGTTCATCTGCCTTTCTATTTTTACTTTCCTCCTGCCCAATAATGAGTCTTTCTTCCCAGATTCTTTCAGTGTTTGTTATTTTTGCTTCCATTTCCTGAAGACTGAGAGTTTTGTCCAAGTGACTGTGATGGAGGAACACAGGGAGTTGTAATGACACTAGTTTGTGGGCTTTCCAGGAAGCAATTCAGTCAGACTCTTTAAGGTGGGGTTTGCCCTTGTTAGCTTTGGAAGCTCCTCAAAGATTCTGGTGTTGAGGATTGCTCCTGAGCCCAGGGCTTTCCTACCCACCTTATTTTTTTAATTTGGGGGTTTAGCTTATAGAAGACATTATTATTTTCTCTGGTTGCTTGTAGATGTTCCACAATTTATTTAACCTGCCCCTGTGGAAGAAATTCTAGTCTTTTGCCATTAAAACTCAAATATGTCAGCCCCCAACTTATGGTGATTTATCTTATAATTTTTCACCTTTATTATGCTGTGAGAGGAATGCCTTTCTGTAGACAGTGTAGTTGGGATTTGGAATTTCAATCCTTTCCCTGGCTCAAGATATGCAAGATGATCCTGTCATGAAGCTGAGCCATGGCAGTGAGTGTGATCTTTCCCTGGTTGCAAGGGGAAGCAGCTGAAGCTCTGCAGGGGGC